GGTCCCTCCTGTAACCCCAGGGCCACCCAAGCATTCACATCTTCTGCGTGTGCCTCAAAGCAGACTGGCTACAGGAAGTGTGTGGAGCTACGGGGTGCAAGAAAACATTGGGGGAAAAGACTAATTAATATTTTTAAAAATATTATCCCATATCCCAATAATATCGTAGATACTAATATTACCATAATTTCCATAATCATTATTATTCTAGCACTTTTCCATGTCACCTCTCTCTCTCTAAACCTTGGTTTCCTCACCTGAGGCTGCAATAATCAGCTGCATTTGATTCTTTCCTCATCAGTCCCTGAAACCTCCCCTCCCTACAATCTGAGTGCTCCTTCCCCTTTTCTTGGTCCAATGAAGGCTCTAGGCTGGCGGAGGCCTGAGCCTTGATAACAGCTGAACAATGACAGCAGAAGCCTCTGCGCGAGGGTGTGAGGGCGTGAGGGCGTGGGAACTAGCCGAGGTGATGGGGAGAGGGACCGGAAAAGAGAGGAGGAAACCCGACAGCTGGCAGGCAGACGCGTCCGCCCCCAGCCCTGCCCTGGAAGCCCTGCTTGGCGGTGGGTGGAAATCATGCTGTTTCTCTTGGATGGTCCCTCCTGGTCCACTCATTCATTCACCAGCTATTTACTGGACACCTACTAGGTAGCAGGCCCTGTGCCAGGAACAACTTGGCCCCTCGGGACTGTCCCTTCAACTCTGAAAAAACACTCATGACCATTACTTCTGGGCTCACACCACAGTCCTGTGTAGCTGGAAGGGTTCGAATGGACAACCTTCTTTAAGAAAGCAGAGGCTGCTCAAGAAGGTGCCATGAATTCTGCAGAGCAGTCTTCACCCCCGTCCTGCCCCCTGGCCTGGGGAACGAAACCCTGAAGGCAGCTAGAAGAGACGGATTTGCCGTATTTTGTGGCCTCCTCACTGTGTGGGGAAACAACCCTTCCTGTGAACAGTTGTACAAAGAACTCTAGCTGTCTGTCAATCTCCCTTCCTTACAATAGACAAACTTTTTTGTAAAGGGTCAGGGTGGGAGGGTGGGCAGTGCCCCAAATCCATCATGGAAATTGCTCGACTGCCCAGTAAAAGACCAGTGGGAACATTTTCCATCTTTGCTGAAGTAGAGAAAAGGTCTGAAAAGTCTGATGAGCAATTTTTTCTTGGACACTGCAAGTCGCGAGGCTTTTAATCAGCCTTCATGAGCTGGCAGCGGGGTTTCCATTGGACTCCAGTCTCTTTCCTGCTTCTGTGGACTTCATGTGTAAAGCAGACCCAGGAATTTCTGATTTTTTTTCTTGGAAGAGCAAGCCCCCAAAGGACTCGGGGCTCTTCTTCCCCAAATGCTGATGCTACTCCACGTCATTGCCAGGCTGTGCTCAAGGTCAGTGCGTCAGGGGCCAAGGATGCCACATGGTTACCCAGAATGCACACGTCACAGGCCAGGCATGCAAACACAGACACACCATACCTACGCATTGTATACTATATACAATATGCACGCTGCATGTACCCCACACACCTCTGACAGAACACATATACCTCTGTGCTCTACAGACACCCCACCCCTACTGTGTACCTCTTTCTCATACACACACGTTAAATACACACACATGTTTATGCCACATTGATACGACAAAAACATACACACATCCTATGGATCAGCATGCTCTACATAAATATACCACATTAACACACACACCACACACAAATACAAATCATATCGTAAACATACACTGTCTTCTGATCAAACTCCTCATGATTTTAGTTTCTATTTAAACCCAATTATATAAGTCATCAACTTCCCTTAGTGCAGCGGTTCTCAACCTGTGGGTCACGGCCCCTTTGGCGGTCGAACGACCCTTTCACAGGGGTCGCCTAAGACCATCTTGCATATCAGATATTTACATTACGATTCATCACAGTAGCAACATTACAGTTATGAAGTAGCTACGAAAATAATTTTATGGTTGGGTCACGACATGAGAAACTGTATTTAAAGGGCCAGAAGGTTGAGAACCACTGCCTTAGTGTGTTCTTTTCTTTCTTGACACTGCTTATGCATTTTCCTCTTTCAGCAAAAACAAAGCTGTAACAACAAAACCTTCCTTGTTGTCACCTGTGAATGAATGCAGCTGGGCACAAATGTCTCAGCATGCCAGAAAGACGAGTGGACCGAGAACTCAGGTTTGGGGGTGCTTACCCCCCATTCTCTTCATGAAGCAGTGGCTCTGCCTTTGTCTGTACAAGGCTTGGGGACACCTGTCTTCCCTCTAGATCAGTGGTTCTCAACCTTCCTAATGCTGCGACCCTTTAATACAGTTCCTCATGTTGTGGTGACCCCCAATTTCATTGTTACAAATTGAACATAATGAAAGCATAGTGATTCATCACAAAAACAATATGTAATTATATATGTGTTTTCTGGTGGTCTTAGGCGACCCCTGTGAAGGGGTCGTGACCCACAGGTTGAGAACCGCTGCTCTAGATGCTTTGCCTTGGGGGAATACACGTAAGATTTGTCACAAGTACTGGGTCTCCCTAGATGTACTGAGCCCCTATTTCCCTGGCCTCAGCCCTCCCCAGCCTTGCTGGGACAAGCTAGGGGTGCCTGCTCTCTCAGAGACAGCGGCCCTGGCCCTCTATCCCTGGGCCTCTGGCCTTCAGGATCAAGGTGGGGAGTGGAGCGCCTTCAGAGTTCCTGGACATCATCCCTGCAGTGCCCTTTCCTTCTCTCCCCTGTCTCAGACCTCCCACCCGAAGCCTTCCGGGCCCTCCGCTCCTCACCAACAGATGTTTATCCACGTGCTGGCACCTACCAGCCTCTCAACTGGACACTGTGACTAAGCCAGGACTGTCCCCATCTGACCACCAAGCCCTTGCCATTGCAGCACCTCTGCCAGGCAACCCTTTCACCTTGCCCGCTGCCTCCTACCCCCACATCCTCACCCTGCCTTCCCAAAGCACACGTGTGCCTCGCTCTGCATCACCAGAACTATGTCTCTGGGCTTTGCTCACACCCTGGTGACAGGCTGCTTACTGTTGTCATGAGAGCGAATGCTGTCTGGGTTTTATCCCTTCAATGCAGCGATGTTGGGACTTCTGGTGACCACAGGAGAAGCCGCTCCCACCCCGGGAACCCCCAGACAAGACGGGTCTGGTGTGGGAACTCCCGCTCGCCTGTAATGAGCGCTCTCTGGCTAGGCCCCAGCTCCTGGCACACTAGGTGCTGAGAACATATCTGTTGATGGGGCACCAAGAGATGCATAGCTGACAAGCCCTGCCCTCCAGGGGTTCCTGGCCAATCCCACTCCTCTGGACTGGGCTCCAGGCAGGATCCAGTTGGGCCCATGGACTGGTTGCCTGGTTTCCAGGCTCTTCCTCTCAGGAAAGTCCTCTTCCTCAGGGCGACAGCTGCAGCAGGCAGCACTAATGGGGGACACTGGGCGGGGCTCCTCCTGGGCGGCCCTGTCACAGAGCCAGTTGGACACACTGCCCCCACCTGTGCTGTTGCGTCCACCCTGGGGTGGGCACTGTGGCTGCCAGGGACATTCTTTTCCTGGGGGTGGGATACAGCTGCTGTGAGGTGGGAGGGAAGGGAGGCCGAGGGAACATGAACCTCAGCATTTGAGTCACATCACACCCAGACAGACAGATGCTCACACAGACAGGCAGATGTGCCGTCACGGGTGCTCATCACACACTCACACAGATACCCCCGCACCATTACAAACAACACAGCCACCCCCACCAGGAGTTTGGGCCAAAACAACACGGGGAAAGGCTGAAATGGTTTCAGACAATGAAGAAAGAAAACACAGCAACCAAAGACAGAACACGAAAAACTGTGCCTTTACCAAGGGGAAAGGGCCTCAGATCCCATGGCTCCCATCCCAGCTCAACCCAGGGGGGTTAAGGATGGTCTTTGTCGTCTCTGGACCTCGGAGCCCAAAGCCCCAAGCTCAGCCCAGTCAGCCTCACCAGCAGCCCCGGGAGGCATGTGGTGGGAAAAACATTGGATTGCACCCAGGCGGTCTCTAGGCTCAGCAGGACCAGCTGGGTGACCTTGAACCAGCGCCTGAACTTTTCAGCTGTTTGCTCTCTGTGCAAAGTGAAGCTCCAATATCCCTTTGGCTTTGAAATTATGTAAAAGGGGGTTGGATAGGGTGAGTAGAGGGGACTCTAGAAGGTGGGAGCTTAAGAAGGGGGACCCACTGGCTGTTGAGTCGGGGAATTATGTAGAATGTCAAAGACAACCCCTTGAAGACTTCCTAGA